GTATGTGTCAATCAAGATATATGCAAGAACAGGCTTAATGATTAATTAGATGGAACATTGTGGGTGTGGTGTATGAATGTTAATACTCTGTAATAATTCTTTAGTATATTACTTGTGTGATGTAAGAATGTTAACACTGTTATATTCTTTTTTTAGTATATGTGTGTGTGTAGAAGTGAATCATTTACTGCTTGCAAACCAATGATGGTAAGATGATGTCATGGGGTAGGACTGGATAAGTCTGACTTCTTCCTACTCCATTCAAGCATGTACTAGGTATAAGCAAATTGATATTGGATTAGCATTTGTTGGATATGTGTAAAATTATGTGTGTTGACATATCGACTGTCTTTACATGCTTGAAAGAATAAATAAATCAAAAAAATCAAATTAGTGTGCGTGCATGTGTGTAAGCTTCTACCACCTCAACAGCAATCAGTCCACAGTACAATTTTTGATTGTGCTGCACTCTGCTCGCCTTTTCCCTTGTTTACTTGTTTCAGTGATTAGCCTGGCCCCCAACAACACTTATCATCACGACTGATTGCCAATGGAAATTGGGGGAAGTGCTACAGGTAGGAAGGTCAGGACAGGGTGTGATGAGTTGAGGGAACAAGGAGGTGAGGAAATGAGGAGATGACAAAAGGATGCATACAGTCCCATGATGGGCCCTGCTCAGCTTCCTGAGAGTGTCATCCACATCCACAGGCACTGCAGAAGAGCCAGCTTCTGATGCACACACACAGTGCCTTTCAAAATAAAATATCCAACACTGGCAAGAAAAACAGATGCTCATATTTATAAGGTTATTGTAGATTGTTGTAGTATTGAATGTAAACAAAGGTTATTTGATTGCTTTTTTTACACACAGGATAAAACCGAGTATTCCGAGGTCAGTCTGAGTCAGTTTATTCAGGCAGAAAATAGCAGCAGAGAGTTTTTCTCATCTGAGTGAAGAAGCATCAAAATCCACCCTTTGCCAGCTGGCCTTTTGCCACTCAGCCGTTGTCCTGGCTCAGACTTGGGTCCTTCTGCTCCACATCAGGGAAAACCTGAACAGCTGTTTTTCCTTCGGGCTGCCTCACCTTCCAGGACTTGAAGCAGTGAGTGCTAGTCAGTAAATGGCTCAGCACTGGCTTTCAGTGGAGTAGATCTAGGTGACACCACAGCAGGGTCTGGGTCTGGACTGGGTGTTAGTTTGGCCTGGCAGGAGATGATGATACGAGGTTCATCAGTGGGGGTCTGAGGGAGCAGAGGAGCAGACACCACAGCAGGGTCTGGTTCAGAGCAAGTTAGTGGCTGCACTGCTGGTTCATCCAACACAATGTTGGCAGGAGGTTCAGCACTGGTGGTCAGTGGTGCAGGTGGATGACAGACATCAAAAGGCTCTGGTTCTGGGCTGGGTGTCGGTTGCTCTACTGCTTCAGTTTGACTCATAGTGTCACTGTCTTTGACCGCATTGTTGGCAGGCGGTTCAGTGGTCAGAGAGGCAGGTGGAGGAGAAACTTCATCTGAGTCTGGTTCTCTGCTGGACTCCTCACACTCATATCACCGTCCAGGACTGAAGCAGTGACTGCAGGTTCAGCTGAAAGGGGTCAGAGGAGGTGGAGGAGAAGACACCACAGCAGAATTTGGTTCTGGGCTGGGTGTAGGCGGCAGTGCTGGCTCATCCAAGCTGATTTTAGCAGGTGGTTCAGCACTAATGGTCACAAAAGCTGGTGGACAAGTAATGACATTACATTCACCAATAGACCAGAGACTTGACTTACAGAATACTAATGTTGCTAAATATGCAAGTGTTTGCCTATCCTTTATATTCACCTCATAAGAAAGTCATATTGCAGCACATTTTATGTGAATGCTACCTAGCTAGCTATCCTTTATATTCACCTCATCGCTCTCAGTCAGTTGTCGGTTCATTTATTCACTGTCACAATTTTGATCCCCATTTGCCACAGCTCTGGTTTGCTTCACTCTGCTTTTTTCCTGGTCTCTGCCTACTACTAGCCCTGGATGCCAGCTTTTCAGCTTCTTGTCACCCTGTCACCGTTTTGTCTGGTCTGTGGCTCATTCCACTCCCATGTTCTGAATTGATGTGCCTTCTCCAGTCTTCCCATCTGCTACAGTTAAGATATTATTTAAGACTGCCATTCTCTGGATGTTATGTTGTGACTGAATAGCCTCTGACTTGCTGACTTCTTGTTCATTTGATTATATATCTCCTACCTTAATGTGGAGATCTGTATTAGTCTAAAGGTTCTCTGGATGTTGGTCTCCGGTTTGTTTGCTGTATACTTACTGCAGTCCAGTTCCTAGTTTCATTATTCTCTAGCTTGTTTGTATCTGACCAGCACTCTTCTAAACTTTTGTTACCCCACCATGATTCAAGATTCAACAATTCAAAGTGTTTATTGTCATTTACACAGTAAGGAAATGTGTTTCTCTGTACAGTGACATTCTTACTTTGCTGTCCACAATGAATGCCAAATGATACAAAGTGAATAATAAGGTAGATAAATAGACACTTAAAAACAGCAAGTGGAAACAAATATAATAAAAAGAATATGATAAAGAGAGAATGTATGCTACATCGGAACTGTATGTACACTAGGCAGCAGTGAGTGTGCAATTGTGCATGTGCAAATGTGCATGTGCAAACTTGGAATGTAAACAGTACACGTGGAATTACATGAAGAAAGCCCTGATTGTATACTCTTGTCAACTGTTTAGGAGTCTGAGGGCAGTTGGATAATGTGGGGGGGGGGGGGGGGAGGAGAGAGAGGAGGGACACAGTGTGAACAGGCACAGTGAGTAAGTGACATGTCAACAGGCAACGATGTGCTAGAACAGGGCTCAGTGGTCCTGTCAACCTTTGGCCCTTTTGCCTTCATCTTAATTCAGAGTGCATTTCAGAGAATCAGTGTTATCTTTGTTATTAGATTTGTTTGAATATTTTTAGATTTATATTCTTATTAGATTGCTATAAGCAACATTTAGAACTTTGAAATTATTTTGTAAAATAATTTTAATCAGAACAAAAGACACTTGCCTCCATATTTTACTGTATGTGTACAACAAATTCACACATATTTAGGCAAAGTTGTATGTAGTTTTGAGGTACACACAAGCACACACACTCTAAACTAGTGGCCCTCTCTACCCCGTTATTTGAGTCTGGCTCAATTAATAATGCTGGTTGCCCTGGTAGGAATGTCGCCCTCCTCCTCCAAAAGCCAACAGCCAAGCATAAACACACACATTAGGCAACATGAGTGTAACATGAGACCACTGGGCCATCTAGTACTGTTCATTTGAGACTACAGAAGAATATAAACACGCAAAGCTCCAAAGTCGTCACACTCAGCAGGGCTCTGACATTGCATGCCTATTTTGGTGAGTCACTGCACACAGACCATTTAACCTATATGGAGGTGGACACAGAGTATTATTACAACCATTATTATATCCGTATTATGTAATATAGCTCAACAATTCAACTACAACCATAAAGATCTCAGAGCTGAATTGTCATATGATAAGTTCTGACAGTCTCAACAGTTTTGCTGCAGTAATAGAGTGTTGTGGTGCTAACTGCTAGATATACCCACTAAATTAACAAATCAAAGCATGATCAAGTACTTCAGGTGAACACTAAGACTGAACAAGACTGTCATCTTACATTTTGTCCACCCAAATGGAGTTTGTGGGCAATGTAAAAAAACAGTTATACAGACCTTGCTTTGACCAATATAAAGCCTAGCAATTATTTAAGTAACAGTTTTGGACATTATAAGGCACTGCATAAAAATGATTAAACTCTCAAAGCTGTCTTCATATAGTTCACTTTGCATGTAAAACAAATTTCCATTACACATAAAACAGGGGTTTAGTTATAGTGTACTGTAACAATTAGAGGCTCTTTGTTATTGAAATATTTGAAAAATGTTTGGTAATATTTTTCCATCCATAAATTTTACAGTTGTCAGTTTCACTTTTAATGTACATTCAGGCCATGTTAGAAGACCGATTAAAATGTATAGTGTGAGTTAAACATCATACATGATCAATAAAAATCACACAGTGTCAGTCTGGCTTTAGTTATTCTATTACATTATTTTAAGCAATTCAAAAAGTATTAATATGTGGAAGTGGGTCTTGAGTCAGAAAGTACTTACAGGTTTGTAAAGTCTTGTCAGACAGTTGAACAGTATTTGCAACTTTGATGAAATGTTTTCTTTCTTACACTGTGAATGCACCATTGGGAAATGGATGGTGCCATGGCTGAATGTATGTACCCTCCTTATCCCATTATTAGAGATGATACCATTCTACTAATGATGGCTCCTCATTCATACAGTACTGTATGTTGCTGCATCAATATATTGTAATGGTATTACAACAGCTAAGAGGCATGACAGTCACGTTTAGCATGTAGGACAGGATGTATTGTAATAACAGTCCTCTTCATTGTACCATTCTCTGTCTTGTTTGTCTCTTTTTCTGCAGCCCAAGCCAGAGAACGCAGTGACTATCGCTGTTTCTTCTCGGGTCTTGTTTCGAACAGAGCGTGAGCAGAAGGTGTTTGAGCAGAAAGGAGTAGAGGAGTATCTGAGATACCAGATTGAACATGAGAACGAACCCTTTGCCCCCGGACCCGCTTTCCCCTTTGTCAAGGTCAAAGTCACACAAACACACTTCTGGACAAACAGTACAGACTCAGATTTTTAGAACTAACATTCTTCCTTTTTGCTGTGTGAAGGCTCTGGAAACAGTCAACGCTCGCCTGCGGGATCTGTACCCACAGAGTGAAGAGCTGTTTGATATTGTTTTGGTGACGTACAACCACGCACATGTAGGAATCCGGCTTATCAACACCATCAACCATCACAGTAAGTTTCACAAACTCAAACTGTAGAGGTGATGTGGCTCCAAGCACAGATAGTAAGAGCATTAATGGCAATAACACATTAAGTTAATGATAAAATGTTAAAATGTTTATATAACATTCAACCAGCCAAAGTGACTAGTGGGAGAGACTATGTTACCCACCCACATTTAGTAGGTGGCCGGGTGTTACTGTCAAGCCCTGGTACTATCTTTGAATGGGGCTATAGAGACAAATATCCATTTCCACTCACATTCAAACTAACTTGCATGTCTTTGGACAGTGAGAGGAAGCCAGAATACTCAGAGGAAACCCACACAGGCATGGGGAAAACAAGGCAACAGTCTTGCTGTGAGGGTACAGTGCTGACCACTGCACCACAATACTGAATGAGAATGAGAATTTTAAAATGTATCACTCAGTGGCACTATTAAAATATAAAATGTGGCAGACAGGAATAAATAGCTCCTTGTCATGGTATAAGAGCACACTGATAGGTTAATAAGATATCACATTTCAAGCATTCACACAACTCATCAGTTTGACAAAATCATTATCTTATTCCTGGAGCACAGTCCCAGTGTCCAGTTAATCACCTGAATAACCAAAGCCTGCCTTTGGTCAGCTGTCTTGCAGCATGAGCAGGTCCAAGGTCTGAAGTTAGTGCTTGCATGAGACAGCAGCATAACCATATGGCATGGACAAGATATTATGCTTTGCAGACAGAATCAACTGAAATGAGGCCATAGACTGTATATAATGTATACAAAAGATATTAAAGACGGATGAACCCTCCATGTCATCACCCACTAGTTTTCAGAAGAGCAGTTTCGAAGCTCAAGCTTTGTTGTTGCCATCTTTTCACTTCACCTAACCCTGGCTAATGCAAAAATGTGCAAAGAGGTGGAGTGTGAGTGGAGCTCGCCAGACAGCCAGTGGCCTGTCACCTGTTACTGGACTCTCAAATTATGCATAACTTTAAACCTCAATATAATTTAATTTAGTCAATATAGTAAATATTCATCTTCCATATAATTGTCATGGGAGAGGAAATGAGCTATAGAGTCACTCTGGAACAATAAAGTGGACTGTTTTCTATATATAAATCCAGTGAGCTGAGGGTTTCCCACTAATGAAATTGATTTAGAAAAACAAGACAGATGTATTTTCTTATGCAACTTTGAGAGAAAAAAGCAGCAAGTTAAGATGTTAAAACACAGACATTATAATGAGATAATGGAAGTCAGTCAGCATACCGATGCTGACGCAAGCTCAGCTGTGAGACAAACAGTAAAATGTATGAACAGCTGACTGGTAGGATCCTTCCCAGGGAAATGTCGGACCCTGTGATGATATCTTCCTCACAGACCACTTCCTGTTCAGCTCCTCAAAGGTTTTCAGATCCTCAGAGCTCCGGGCTGGGGTGAGCACAAGATTGCATCCTCTGGGATGTAGGAATAATCCAACAGGCCCGAAACAAAAACAGATCTGAGTGAGGCCAACAAAGCAACATACGGCCTACTAGATGCTTCCATGTTAGATCTCTCTGGTGGCTCTCTGCATGAGGGGTCCAATGCATTCAAACAGTCCCCTGACCTCTGTCATTTCCTACAGAACTAAAAGAAAACATGGCTTCTCTACAAAATCAGACGAAATTATCGAGACAAACATTTACTTGCTCCTTTTGCTTTTGACATTTGAAACTGAAAGTGGGATTCTCATCTGCCTTTAATTGTTATTTTTCAAGCAATATAAAGTTTCTCTCCTTGCATTTGGGTGACTGGGGACAACTATACAGTATGTACATGGCTGCAGAAGGCAATCAATTTCATACATACATGTAACTATAGCACGTATACATCACAGGACCCAAGTGCCAAGACAACAGGCTGGCAGGTTCTCTCATGCACTCCCTGTACAGTAACTTGAGATTTCATGTGATGACATTAGCATTATCTATGGAAATCAAAACGAAACCCACTCCTTGACTAAATATGCATATCTTACATGGGTGTAGCTGCTATGAGACCAAAAATATTAAACGGTTCATGAAGCTGCTCATTCGTTGGTGTGACAGCTGCGGTTTCCCGCTGATTTCCTGCTTTCCTATTGCAATGTTTTAGATATTCTCAACATGCAAATATGATACAATGTATATGATATGAAAACATTTTATGTAGCAAAAAGATACAGAGACATCAGTGGTGAGGACACTTTCCCTCCAATGACTCCCACGCCCCAGCACCCCTCTTAAAGGCAGGGGAAGCTTGGGAGGTTTGAAATGAGGAGGCGGGGTATGGTGCTGTGTGGGGGTCACACCCACCAGGGCCCGACTACAAGGCTAAATAAACTCTTTAGGAAATCTGTCGAGTACAGTTCTTGGAGTGATAGATCACCCAGAGGGCTTAAAGCAACACTCTGTTTCTTGTCTCCATAAGCCTTCAACCTGTTTAAGAATCATATTGTTTTACCTCTCTCACTAAAACACTACTCAGTATTACCCTTTGCAGTAAGAGCAAATATGGGAGTTTAGTGCTGCTGAGCTCAGATTTTTCTGTCTGATATTCTGACTGATACTAATTCAGATCATTCAGACCATTTTTTGTACATCAGTAAGATCCACACCATTTCTGTGTGTTTGTGACAAACCCTTGCTGTCCCTTGTCTCCAGGTCATAAATCCTCAGGCTTTCTATTGATAAAATTTCTGAGAGAAGCTCTCTTTTGCTAAACTACAGTACACTGGAAATTATGTTTATGGGGAGGGAATCACTGTGGTAGTGAACACAGGCCTGTATGTCGGTATGTTCTGTTTGCCTGTTTATTTCTTTTCAAAGGTTGAGTAACATGTTCGCTGCAGGGTAGGTCTGAAAGCATTTTCCCAGTAGGAAGCAAAAAATATCTTTTGGGTTGCACTGCAAGACCAAATGAGCCACACACAAGTGGCCTGCTTAATTCATAGATAAATGAACCACTCTGATCAGGTCAGCTAAAGCTGGGGAATGTAAGCTGTTTGAGTTTGCAAGCCACTTCTGTATTTACATGAAACTGATTGTACCATTTATTTCAGCACATGAAGTGAATTTTGCCCTTTGTCCCAGTGCCAAGCAATGAAGAAGAGGCTAAAATTACACCTAGATTGTTAAACGTTGTTCAGAGGGTTGGAGAACAAAGTATTAGTGAACATTTCTTAAAGGAATATAAAACTTTTGCAATCCCCATTACATGATCAAGTCTGAGAAAACCCTAGTATTTCAACATGATTACCTTGGACATAATTTGAACAAGTTGTCAGATAGCCAGTTTGTGTAAGACCCAAAAGCAGAATAGTCAGCTCAGTTGTTTGAAAGTTGAAGGACAGAGTTAACAATTAGAATGTTTAAATGATGCAGGCTCAGAACTGGATTCACCCTGTTGCAGATATTAGGCAAGTTTCAGCCACAGCCAGGACTTTGGAAACCTTCAATCTTAGAGATTTAGCGGATTTACAGCTGTTTCTAGGCAGTTGAATGGTGCAGAAAGGCAGGAGGCTGACCTGGAATGATGTGTAACCGGCGGGTTGGCCACGCCTACACCGCCTGGTTAGTAATTTGGCAGAATAATCATGGATATAAATATCACCTGGGGAGATGCTGTTGCGATAAACAATTTCTGTGCTGGTCGCTGCCGTAACCAGTCTGAAGTGAATCTCCCTCCATCAAGCTGTGTCCTGCTTCTCCTTTAAGACTGTTTTTAGGAGATTGCCACATGCTCTCCAGGAGCGATAATTGATGCGAGCGTGATCCAGTCAAAGTTGGCGTCCTTCGCACATGCTGTGCTAGGGTGACGTGCAGCCAAGGGGTGATAGCCACTGCTGTTTTGCTTATGTGATGTTTTGCCTATGATGTTTTGCTTATGCAACGTTTTGCCTTGTTTGCTTTTATGTTAAGAGGTTCACCTAGCATTATGTTCCCTATTTATTGTATTGTTTCCAAATAGGGTTTAGTCAATTTTATGGTGTGAACAGTGTGTGAATGGTTTTATGCACAGGGAGGCAAGGCCTTTAGCTTCTGGGGTTAGGCTTCTTAAAACATTATTACTGTTAAATTATACTTTGACTCAAAGTTTTATCTGTGTGAGTAGTTCCAACGTCTCTGTGTTTGCAGATCTATCTGGGGGTAGTAGCTCAGTACTGGGGAAGTTTGCATGAATTTGACCTCTGAAAACAGGAGGGGTGTTATTCTTGGGGAACTACTAAAAGTTACTACGGTCTGAGTTGCCTAGGCCTGTATATTGGCCCGGTCACAGATGTATAGTCAAATGCTTCTGGGCCACAGAGCAGCTGGAGGAAGCAAACGCCATGTGAGTAGAGGACCCTAATATAACTTGAACTGGGAAAAACGTAGCACATGAAAACCTAGACAAGCACAGGGAGGAACTGGCAGTCTCCCTTTTAGCACAGGGCAGAGCCCAAGATAGCAACCTCAACAGACATTGGCATCTACTAGAAACTGCTCAGGGAGAAGATTGAGAACTCAAACAGGACAGGCTAACAAAGTGTCCTATTAGGCCACACACACAAAAAAAGACAGTGGCTGATCAGGAGAACAAAAATATTCCTAAGTACTGAAGTGTAATGTCACAAAAACATGAGGAAACAGCCCGAGACAGGCAGTGAACAAAAAGTAGTGATGGCCGTCTGACACTGAAGCTCCGACACAAGCTTCAGACTCAGAGGCATTTTCTGCGAACCATTTGCTTTGAAGCCTTCTTCGTTGCCAAAAAAGACAAGCGACTGATTTAAGCAATTTTAAATCACTGTGTGGATGAAGACAAATTCACCTAAGATAGAGCAGATTTAAAGAAATGTCAATCTTGTCGTCTCTATTTTAATAATCAGTGCATTCATCTTCCACCCACACTAACCTCCTCTTGTACCAGATCTTTGGGGTCATTCACGTCTTTGCATTTTATTATAACCTTCAGCTCTACTCGGAATTCCCATCACAGCATTAATCTACTGTATTACTTGAGTGCTGTGCCCTTTCTGACAGTCCCTCATGCCCTGCTCTTTGTTACCTAGTAAATATCGCCCCATTTTACCTGGACAGGCTAATTTGATTCACAGCTCTGTAATTATGGATCATATTGCCTAATACCAGATTCCTCCTGTTCTCCACATCGTGTTTCTCTCCTACACTTTGAATCAGAGCACAGCAGAGAATTAAGCAGCTCTCTTGGCCAAAACACAAACCATCCCCAGTAGTCATAATTCTTCTCCCCCGATCTTTATAGCCTCGCCCTTCCTCTAGTCTCCCTGTACTTCTTTCAAATTAAACCCCTCTTTGGACCCTCTCCACGTCTTGCACTTGTAAGTTCATCCTCTTACCCTGTCCTTATCCCTGCACCCTTCCACTTTACCTCCCATGACTCCTGAACTTATTTATCATAAGACAGATTCAACTCTTTTAAATTCAACTGATGTTGCCATATCACATACTGTGTCAATATCTAAATGAAGACATGTTCTAATTGCTCTGTAATGCTGCTAATGTACTGTATGCACACATTTAAGACCACGTGTTAAACTGAAACTAAAAACCTTGTCACTGTTTTTTCATCTCATCCCCAGACTTGTTCATTGAGAGGTTTTGTATGACTGGGGGAAGCAGTCCTATTGGCTACCTAAAGGCCTGGCAGACCAACCTCTACTTGTCAGCTGATGCTGACAAGGTCAGGGAGGCATTGGCTGAAGGTGAGCACACACAGACGCAAACACAAATGAAGAAAACGAAGGATAATCTGTTAAATTGCCTGTTTTAGAACAAAAAATGCTGAATGATCACAGGACTACAAAGTTATACAATGAAGGTGTGGCTGTAAGTATGAGTGTCTGTTTGTCTGTATGTGTCAGCCCTGTGAGAAACTGGTGACCTGTCCAGCGTGTACCCTGCCTCTTGCCCAGTGTTGGATGGGATTATTTTAGACACAGGGTGGATGGAGTAGATTTAGAGGCACACTTGTATCCCAGTATTTAGTCTTAATATGTTTTTAATTATATTCAGATTATGTTATTTATATAAAACATGAAAATTGTGGTTACTTTGGTATACATGATTTTGATAATATCCAAAGGTCTCATTTATCAAACTTTAAAGAATTACACTTAAAAAAGTTCTATACTTCAGCTTTCAAGTGACCATAACACTGATCTACAACCAAATTGCTTCTGAAACAAAAATAAACAAGTTTTGGTCATTCTGGGCCACTGAAAATGAAAATGATACTGTTGGGTGGCTCTGTCTTATAAAACCTAGGTCTAGCAAAGTATGAATTTTGCTTCTGATACAACAAACGTCTTTGGTCAAACATTAAGCTGACATTGTGTCTCAGGCAGTGCAAGCCTCACATTTTTAGTCTAACTAAAATGCTTTTTACTTTCATACCTCAGCTCAACACATGAAGCTCTTTGTATTATACATCAGTTCATATTCTCTCTTGTAGTCAAATGATGTCATTATCTTTACTTGTCAGCTTTTTGCATGTTGGCATAAATATCTTAAAGTACTGTATAGGCAATCAGTTATCATTTTTGTCTGACTTCAGAAAAATGGAATAAAACTTGCAAAACTCCAGTGCATCCTTTGAACTTTAATTTAAATGGATAGAAGCACCAAGCTACTAAAAGTTTTACACACAAAGATCACTGACTTCAACTCCTGGGAATATATGTCGAGATTTTTTTTATCTCTTTGCATAATAAGTAGCAGTGACTGACATCCTCTCCTTTGCTGCAGGAATATTACCATAAATCAGCATGTTGATTATTTCCTCCCTTTGTATTTGCTTGATGGATTCCTGCATGTCATAGCATATAAAGCCATAGACTAAAGGGAATATCAGCAGTCAATAACATCCCTTTGCTCTTGGTGTGACTTTGAATATGTACTGTATCAATATTTGAAAACACAGACCACTTTCTGCCAAAGAAATACACTACAAACCATTAATAGTGCTTTACTAACAAGGTGCTAGAAACAAAATGCGCTGTTATAAACTTTGTGAAACTTGAGGTGAGAACTGCTTTGGAAGATTTACATTTGTTCAGATCATCACATTCCATGCTACCTTATTATTGCTGCCAAAAAAAGAAGCACACAGAAAACCCTTCAGAGACACAGACAGGGCTGAAACCAGAAGGAACCCAAGGTCCTAAAGAGCCACCAGGATAAAACCTGTTTATAAAATTTTAAAACAAGATCTGAATTAACCTAGTTGACACAAAACTGTTAAGTTTTTTTAAATAATTTGTAGCGAACCAGAACACTGCCTACTGTATCTTCTGTGTCACAATCCCTGTGTGTAGAGGGCTGGGGAAAATAAATTACCCAGAATCCTGACTGATCACAGCACAACCACATACCTCTGTAGGTGACTTCAGGGGCATTGTTCATAGGACTTACAAACTTAGGTCACTATGCAGTGAGTGCATAGGGAGCAGACACACACAGAGTCAAGCTAAAGAGGTGTCCTTGACATTTTACTTGAAAGGTCCCTCCTCGCTGTAAAGACATCTGTCAATACTACATGTGTTTGTGTAGTGTTTTTAAATAGCACTACAGCTGCTGCAACAACTGTGAAAATCTACCTAATGTGGTGTGTCTCTAGCAGGAAATCAAGTGATAAAGTGAAGTGAACTAGAATCTGATAGGGCTAGGGCAGTCACTGTTTCAAAAATGTTTTAACACCTGTCCCCCTTAATCTAAATATTCTTGCATATACTATGCTGTAAGTCTTGCTGTATTATTGGTGATGGCCTTTTAACAGGCTTCTGGGGAGGGTCCTGAGGATGAGTGAAGTGAAAAGTAAAGAGTCAGATGATTTGTACAACTGATATTGCTGCTGGGTGGCAAACAAACAGCTAAGTCCTCAGTCCTTGCACAGTCAGACACCTGTTTCTTTACAAACTCACCAAATAGCCTCATCTTTGGTGAAGAAGTCAAAATAGTTGCTCAGATGCTTTGTTACCGTGATTATGTGCTCTGTGATTATTATTAGCACCGCTTTGTTCAGTAGTGTCCACCTCCATTCTTATTGATTCATTTAGTGTTAGGTCAGTAGGGCATGCTGTGGGTCAAGCAGGTACTGTGCCCTCTACTGGACCGCAAGGCAAACTACTTCTGACAGTTTGTTGCACTTATAGACTAAATTTTGAATTCAAAAAGGCCATCACAGTTTGAGTATTACATTTATCATACATTCAACTGACTTTCCTATTCAATTCAGTGATGAAGTGTGTTCAAACGAGTAGTAGTGTACCTCTTGGATTGATTTAAAAAGAAGTGAAGTGAAAGGCAAAAGCTGGCTTTACCTTAACAAGAAGGGTTTCTGCACATTTGCTTCTGATCCAATCGACAGTTATCAAAGTATCTAAGTAGGTTTCATTCAGAGTATGGTGAAGTAAAATGCTCTGTGATGGCTGGTTTTATCCTTTGCAACAAATGTCTCTGTTAATTATTTAGAGAGCACTTGATTCTGATCCACTCAAACCATCATTGCCTGCAAGTATCAAAGTATAACTATCTGTAGGACTCAAAGTTTTTATGTAGGTTCAATTTAAAGTAGAGTGAAATGATACAGGAAATGCTTCTGATTTAATTGATCCTGATCTAATAAACATCACTGTCACAACTACCAAGGGTACCTACTGGATTTGTTTAAAATGAAGTGAAGCAGAGTAATGTAAAGTGGAGTGGGATTTGTACGCTCACCACTTCCCTGTAACTGCCTTCAGATTCAACTGTTGAACCCGTTCTTACTGACGGCTCTGTCTGTGTCTATGTTCAGGCATTGCAGCAGCCACCATGTTCATGTCAGAGAAGATAACGGAGGTATCCGAGTACCAGCTGAGGGTGGCATTTGACGGTGATGCCGTCCTTTTCTCTGATGAGTCAGAGCGCATCTTCAAGGCCCATGGGCTGGACAAGTTCTTCGAACATGAGAGGGAAAATGAGGACACACTATTGGATCATGTATGTAGTTTTCACTAGAAGTCTGTTTGCTCCTGAACAGCAGCGCATGTGCTGACACCAAGCATAAACTATATGCCAAATAATCATGGAATGAGTACAGATTGCATTTCCCTCTATCCCAAAAAGGGTGAGGTTGAGGTTTTTGACATTTATTTAAAAAAGAAAATAAGTAAAAAGAATAATAATGCTATAAATGATTCTGAGGCAACAAAATATGAGTGAGCTTTAAACCCTAATCTTCTTTCCAGTAAAACATTACTTTGGCTTTTCCATGCATCTCTAATCGCCTGTAAATAATTATGCAGATGTTCTTGATATAAATCTATTTAATTAACAAATTATTCAAAGAATAAATTATGGAAAATAGTATGATAAATGGTTTCAAAAGGCATTATGATTCAGACTGTCAGATGGCACATTGTCCTGCCAGACAGCTAATTTATAAAATCAGCTGTGAGCTGTGCAGGCTTCACACGGTGCTACATTACAATAAAGTGATGCTAATTCAGTGAAGGTTTGCTTGTCCTGCATGCACACAAGGGAACACATTTCTCCTGGCTGTGCTTTATCATAATGTCTCCATTTTTTTCTCCCTGGCAGGGGCCCCTAAAAGGCTTCCTGGAGGTACTGGGGAAGCTCCAGAAAAAATTTTATGCTAAAGGCCAGCGCCTGGACTGTCCCATCCGGACCTACTTGGTCACAGCTCGTAGCGCAGCCAGCTCCGGTATCCGGGCACTGAAGACGCTCAGGGCCTGGGGCTTGGAGATCGATGAGGCATTGTTCTTGGCAGGAGCACCGAAGGGCCCCATGCTGGAGAAGATCAGGCCTCACATCTTCTTTGACGATCAGATGTTTCATGTGGAGGGAGCGGCAGAGATGGGCACCATTGCTGCCCATGTACCGTACGGCATTGCTCAGAATCACAACCCAAAACAGAATGCTAGTGTGGGGAAGTAAACAGCAGGACTGCAGATTCCTCATGTTCTTCATGTAGCCAGAAACAGAACAGGAGAAGAAGAATGACTAGAGAAACATCTTACAGGATAGCAAAGAGAAGCTGAGAGGTTTCAGCTTGGAAAGGTGAACTTGTACTGTACTGTACTGTATGTGGAAATGTGCCATTTCCATACTGTAGCAATTTTATTGTGTGTTGTATCACAATGCAAACTGTCTTAGCTTAAAGCCACCATGTTAGGAGTTAGATACTGTACAGGTCAGAGTAGAGGCCAAGCAGAGTGTCCCTCAGCTTTACATTTCAAAACCTCAGTCTACTCAACACTGAAATGTTTTGTCAGATCTTGCTTTGTACAGGAATTTCAAAGGTGCTCTATTGTCATGGTAACCTGATTGTGTTTTTCTCACTAACACTTGTCTTCATAAAGAAGACAGCTCTTCAGTGAATGCTGCAGGGCAGCGAATGAACAGCTTCACTGACTCCTTTCTGAGCAAAGCACAGCGACTGCACTGTATTTTGTCAATAAATGAGCCCTAAGCACAAAGCAGAGATATTATAAGGTTAAAAATTATACTGATGTACTGTAGAGTCATAATTTAAAGATTATATGTCAGTCACTTTATAGTTTGACATCACAAGAATGTAAAAGCATTTGCAACTATACAAAATGTGTTGTATATTACTGAAGATAGTAATATTACAGTATTTTATTATTGTGTTAGTCCAAAAGAAATATAGAAAGCCATACACTTGAGTTGGTGCCTTAGTTTCAGTGAAGATGCTATTTAAAAACACTTTAGCAGAATGGATGAATGGCCAAACATTTTAGTGCAAATTATTGTCTGCATAGAATGAAACCTAATGAATTTGGTGTTGTGACTTTGTACATAGCATCATAGGACACAATTATATCTACTTTAAACTTCCCAACAACATAGGCACTAATGCTAAAGTATGACCTATTAGCATGCTAAATATAGAATATTTCATTGTCCTGAAGAAAGTGAACTACTCCATCCAAAACATACAATATATAGACAGACATAGGTTTTAGTGGACTAAATTTAATTACAATAAATTCACTATTCACAACCATGTTAGCAATGTGATCATGGTCGGGACAGAAATATTTTAACTGCTTGTGATGTGGTTGTCATACTTGTCATGTATAGCACCTCGAACAGGTCGGAACTGTGTTAAAACGTGAGTTCAGTGCTTCAATTTATGACACAACATTTTAGAAATGAATTAAACTGAATTCTCAACAATTTCAGCTGAACACTTCCATTAGCACGCTAAAGCTTACTATGCTAGGAGGCAGTTCTTAGTGTTCTCAAAGCCCATGTGAGCCTAAGTATAGCTGAGGCTAACAAAGCACAGGGTAGCCTGATTAAAGTTGAGGGAATATTGAATTAAATCCCATGTGAAATGTGTTGTGGTTCTTCAAAACAGTGCGCGGATGTGCAGAAAACAGCAAATCTTGACTTGACAGCCCTCTCCCGCACACCAAGGCCAGTGCACAGTCACACTGATAAGGTGGTGACTGATGTTGTAAAATGTAGGAAATATACACCTGGCAATCAATGCCTTATTTTAGTTACAGTGTGAAATGTGTTTGTATAAAAACCACAAATTTATCTTTTATTGACTAGATGGCATTAGTGGCCTTTTGAAAATGTCAATGCTATTCACGTGGCCCTGTTGCCACGGGCAAGCGCTCAAAAATCTTCCACCTAGTTTAGCCTATATTTAGAGATGCTTCACTACTCTCCTTGGCCTTTGGAGGACCACAGAGCTCAGGAAGGTGACAAGCAATCCACAGGTCTCATTTCACAGCCAAAACAAATAATTAAACATGTGTCTTTTATGGCAGCCATTAAAATGATGGGTGAGTTATCAGAGGATCAAGTTTCAGCACAATAACAGTAGCTCATCAGCCAGAGCAGTTTGGATTTTAGGGTGGCATTAGATTAACACAGATTATGCATGTGTGAAATTGCAGCAACATGCATAAAATGACTTTTCAACCCTTATAACAAAAAGGTTTTTAAGTAAGAGAATGTACATGAAAAATAAATAAAGATGTGAATGACTGTACTCGCTCTAATATCCTTGTGATGAACACAACTCCTGCATTGATTCACTGACATGCACTCCTACAGTCCACCATGAAGTGGCAGCACTGGAATGATAAATGACCTGCTGCAGCACAGATTGGTTTAATTTTGGATGAAAAATGTGAAAAAATGATCAACTGACACTGATTTAAGAGCTCAATCCACATTAAATTTATTTTTAATGATGTATCTTTATATATTTTTCTTCTTTCTAGTTTCTTAATTTTTCTTTACCGCTTCCTTTTGTCTCATTTCTTACAGGATATTTTCCCCATTTACTTTAATATTTCACTCTTTTCAATGAGCAGAATCATATTGCTACCCACTCATTCTTCCCTTTATTCACATATCTATGATAAATGTGTTAATATGCCCAATCATTTCCAGCTGAATTGGATCTTCCCAGCAGAGTCTGGGTGATTAATGCCAGAAAGCGTCAACATCCAGCACTGGTGTACCTGGTGCCATATTGCTAAAAGCACCACAGGGATGAGCCCTGCTGGTAAACACTGATGGATTGACATCTGCATGGATGTTATTAGCTCCAGAACAGCAGAGGTGATGTCTTCTGTCTATACAGCCGGCCATAGATCAGATGTGGCTGGCTGATAAATTCTGCAAAGCCTATGCACAGTTCACAGGTCATAATGACACACATGCACAGGATGCCAGTTTTATTATTAAGCAGACAATAACCATCATTGAAAATGAAGGGTGAAAGAGGACAGCTGTGTGCTTCACTATGCCAGATGGAGATGGTGCCTGGGGATAAAAATGACCATAACAACTATCCTGCATGTTACAGATAGCCCGGTTAGCTCATAAATGCTGGAAGCTGCCCAAATGAAAAATCAGAGGAAATATTTAAGATCTATTTTCATTTCAGATGTACAAGCTGGGGGGATTTTTCAAAAATCAGCTTTACACAGATAATATGATTGAACGCTGGTGCGATGATAGATCATAACTCAAGTGCAAGTAAAAGCAACAGAAGAGGGTGAAGAAAGGAGTTGTTTCATAAATTAAAGGTAGGTTCCACAAACTGCAATTGATGACTGAATGCGGGAAGTTACATAACAGCCCATAAGCCTATATATAAGCTGTGTTACTGCCAGATGTGACCTACAGTGGAGAGCCTGAGCCGGGGGGTTGGGAGTGCCTTTATCAGTGTTGGATAACAACACAATAAGAAATGTCAATGAGAGAAAAAGGCAGATGCAGAGGAAAGCACTGCTTGCCCCAAAGACAGATATGAAAAGTGTTGTTTTGCTTCTGCTAGGTTACAAAGCCGAGTCACACTCATGGAGGGAGGAGATGAGTGACTCACCCTGCTTTGGCATAAATACTGGTCATACTCAGAGGGACTCCGCAGTGGGAGACCAGTCTACAAAATGTTTTCAATCTGTTCCAGTATGCTTTTTTTTTTTTTGGCTGCCAAGCACCTTGTAGCTTTTTGAGCTCTTTAAATAGACTCTTTTCTTAAACTTGACTTTGGTCATAAGATTTGCTGACATGTCCTGCAAATACAGAAAATCACAAAGCAATCTACATTTTTCTAGGATTCTTCTAACTAGATCTTTTAAGGGTTTTTTAGGGTGTAAGATAAAACTGCGGTGGAGTGGAGAGGAACAGCTTCTCACTCTGACTGTAGCAAACAGTGATAGAAAAAAGTATACCGACTGAGTATTATCAGTGAATGAGAATGAAAACTAGCCAACAGGACAATCTCCTTAAATGCTTTCTCTTTCTGCTTACTTCTTCTAAGGCTTTCAAAGTTTCTTCAGGAAGGATTCATCCCTCCATATTAGTATCCATAGCAACGGATTAAGGCTCTCCCTCAAGAGAGATAAGAGGAGAGCTGGGAGCTTGAAAGTTCTAGTGTGCGTGTGTCTCAGGTACGTAAGTAATTTATGGACTGGCCTTTATAAAAATGTTTTGTCACCAGCACACTTCGACTGTGTTTCCATGGCTACCTTATCCAGGATGTTGAAGGAGTAAGGAAAGAAGGAGGAAAAGAAGAGAGACAGGGAAGAAAAATGTGAAATAGGAAAAGGCTTATAGTATTTACAATATACAGTATGTAACCATATAAAAAAACAACAGATTTACATTCACACAAACCATACTCATGAACAATGAACACAAAGGGCATTCGCAGAGCTGCCTGCAAACACCTGCGGCCATTCAGTTGGGAGCACCTCAGTGAAAGCGTGGTGAGGCATATAGCTAAACACTGAGAGATCCTCAAAGATAAAAGGGATAAAAGTGTGGGCAAAAAGATGGGCAGAAGAAACAAAGCAAGAAAAGACAGTTGAAAAGGGAGCCAGCAAATGGATGCCTGGCAGAGATGTTTTACTTCACAGCTTCATCAGATGGATAGATTTTTCCTCATACAGCTCATCTGTTGTATGAGCCTGTCTCAACCATATCCATCTCCACTAGAGCAGCTCTCCATTGGACTGGGTGAGATCAAGCTCACATTCAAGGATTTAGAAAGCCATTTTCCTGAAAAGTGAATTTTAGACTAATGTATTTACAAAAATTAATAAATGTATAAACACTACAAATATGAAACATCAAATATCATTAAGTCAATACTTTGTCACTGTGGAAAGTACAATTATTTACCCTTTTGCCAACAGTTAAATGAGAATATTAAAACTACCCTCATGTTTCTGAGGTAGTAATTATGGAAGCGTTTGAGCTTAGCTTGCCATAAAGTTTGGAATCAAAGACAAACAGCTAGTCTGGCTGCACCTTGCCATGAAATAATTCCAGCTGAAAACTTGTCGATTTAATATTTTGGTATGTATTTATTTGGTATGTATTAAACATATGCTCATCAGTGAGCTTTAGAGGTGCTGGTAGCTGCGTTTCCACCCTTTTTTGCTAGGCTAAACTAATTGGCCGCTAATTAGTAGCTTCATATTGATCATACAGACTTGAGAGTTAGCACATTCACACAAAAAGATGAACTTTTAAACTCACTAAGCTAAGCTAATCAAAGTCTTGGTCACAAGAGTGATTGTTATTCTAACATTAAGTCTCAGAAAACAGGAAAAGTGTATTTTCCAGTATGTCCAGTTATTCCTTAAAACTATAAATGAACTGCATAATGGACTGCATGGCACTGACTGCAGAAGGACATCGAGGCCAGTTGAAAAAGAAATCCTGTTTGATTGTTAATTGTAGCCCCGACTGATTGATTCGCTATCAAGTAGATACCAATGAAGGATTGATTTGGGCAAAAAGCGGAGTGGTTTTGGGACACTGGAACACACTGTTGAGCCTAGGAGTGGTTTTGGAACACTGGAACACACTGTTGAGCCTTCTCATTGTTGTGGGCCCAACTCAACAAAACACCAGTTAGTGAGAAGGCGCCTACCTGATGACTCTGTAGACCTGCCTTCACTCCTACACCCACACAGAACTTGTATTGGTAATGCTGATAATAGTTTTTTTGATTCACTGGGTTCATTAGTTTTCTGCTGATTGTAAAGGCTTGGTAGAACAGTGACAGTGGTTGGACTATTGAACAGATCTTCTTCTCAGATATGAGAAGCCAAACCAGTTGGACCAGCCACTGTATAAACCCGAGCAAATACAATGCAGATATTATGTCTGCTCTTTACTTGGATGAGCAAAGGAGGGACCTTCTCATATGTACGTACATGGTATAATAGGGTTAAGGTTGGAGAACAGTGTACAAAATCATTGTATGCTCATCTTAGGTTAGGTTAGGGGGGGAAATGATTTATGATGGTATGGCCTGACCATTTAACATGAAAAATAAGCTTCCAGAGAAAAGCTCATTCATGTCATGCATATTGATTTAGTGTTTTCTGTCTCTGCTGCACACAGACCAAATTGAATGTGAACACCAGGGAGTAAAAATATCACAATTTCTATTTCTTTTATAATTATTGCTTTTCTTTCCAAAGTCAATTATGCAAAGGAAACTTTAAAAATTGGCTGTCCTCTATTAAGCTGAGTCATAGAGGTGCTGGCAACAGCAGGAAAACAAGCCACTGAGAGAAAGGAGCATCAAGCTGCATGCAGTGTCAGAACTGTAATTTCTGCAATTATATTTTGTTTTTCAGTTTTCTAACACAATGAGTGACACATGAGTGAGCCTGAAAAAAGTAGATGGAAAACACTGTTTGCATCAGTGCCTTTGGAAGATGAACAATATGAATAAATTAGTGTAAAGTATGTGTGCGACACAGCTGCCACTTGCCTGATTATTGTATTTAAGACATTGCACGGCCGTTGATTGTTTTCAGATTACATGGACTGTAGCTGCATTGGGAAAACTTTTTCTCAAGTTGTAGTGTCAGGAAAAATCAGAATCTCTCAAAGTTTGAATGACAAAGATAAAAAAACATGACATCTGGCACACCCATCTGCTCCCTGTCCTCTTTACTGCATGTTACCTGTATAGCTTTTGGGCAAACATTCTAACTTTTTCACATTTCTGTTTTGGTATATCATTCCTACAAAAAAATGGAGAGAACTGTGTATTATACTGTATTTAACAGTAAGAATCAGTTGCATTTTCAAAATGCACTGGGTGAGCAAAGGAGGGACTTTCTCATATGTACATGGTATAATAGGTTTAAGGCTGGAGAATAGTGTATGAAATCATTGTATGTTCATCTTAGGTTAGGTTAGGGGGGGGAATGGTGTTGGTTATTATTGGGCCCTGAAGATTTATGATGGCATGGTCTGACCATTTAACATGAAAACAAAGTTGAAGTCAGAGCCACAGTCGGGGTGACATGAGGTGAAAATGTGAAGTGAACTGACTCAGCCCAAGTAATGTAATCTTTTTTTTATCAGTTTTTTTCATCACAGCCTCTGCTCTGACTCTAAGGGACAGGTTAGCAGCTGGAAGAGGAAGAGGAGCCAGGGAGGAGCAGACAATATGATGGATTATTTTCAGGTGCTGTTCCACTTGCC